TATATATATATATTAGGGGTAGAACGGTTCGCGGAAAAAAATCGAACCGTACGGTTCTCCGCACACGGTTCGGCACGCGCTAGGACCACGGTTTAACTTAAATCTGACAACGAATCTGTAATATGGTTTGCTATAAATAACACGTAAAACAAACAGGGTTCAGCTAATATATGTTTCTGTTGATGAATGCTCATTCTGGCTTCCCAATACATTACAACAACAGCGATGGGAAAAAAAAAAAAAAACGTGGACAACCCATTCACTCTTGTTCAATGCGAATGCCGTATGCTGGAATATGAGTATTTATATTACCCCCCGGGTGCTGATAGCGCGCGCACACAGGTGAGACCTGAACAGCACACGTTGATATCGGTGTTTAAGCTAAACTCATTTAAGCTTTGCCAGTTTAAACATTTAAGGGCCAGAGGACGCGAGCTCACGCGCACAGTGAGAAGATTTGTGCGTGTGCTCATCCGAAGTGCGCAAAACCATGCCTCAGAACACGGCAAATATTAAGCTCTCTCTGAAGTATTGTGTTTAAATGCACAAATTCACTGTCTTGATAAGTGTCCTATAGCAGACATAGCTGGCTGAACGTACTGGATCAGTGCACTGGATCAGTGCATTCTCTTAAAGTGACAGCACTTTCTTAATGTTAATCAAACAGAAACAACAAAGAAATCACTCACTGCTCTTGATTGAATAGCTTTTGTAACTTTAATACAGTTTAATCTTTCATTTATACAGTCAAATATGCAATGCTGTTTTACATTTCATTACTTTATCTTTACTCTATTGTATTTATTTGTGCTGTTGCTTGTAGTAAAATAGATTATCCTTATTTTCTTTATTTTTATTTGACAGTATAGTTTTCCCCTAAACATAGCACATACCGAACCGTACCGAAACCGTGACTCTAAAACCGTGATACAAACTGAACCGCGAGTTAGTTGAACCGTTCCACCCTAATATATATATTAAGCATTGTTGATTTTATTTTATGGACCGGTTCATGGGTTGTGTTTAAAAAAAATCAAGTAAATTTCAAATAATAATTTTACATATTAAGCTTCATTTAATTAATTTTTTGCATGCATCTGTTCATGGGTTAGACTCAAAGAAAAGCAAGGATTTTATTTCATTAAGAATTATTTTGATTAAATAATGTTTTATATATAGTAAGCATTATTTTATTTTATTTTTTTATAGCATGCACCTGTTCATGGGTTGAGCTCAAAGAAAATCAAGTATTTCATTTTATTGTATATATACTTAATTTTTATATTTGTAATATTTATAAAAATGTAAGAATTATTTTATTTTATATTATAGAATGCACCTGTTCATGGGATGTAAAAAATATATATGTATAAAATATATTTTATTTTATTGTATTGAGATATACATTTTAAATAGTAATGTATATAATAATAATTATATGAATATATATATATATATATATATATATGTATAACTATATTAAACTTAATTTTAATTTAATAACCTTTTTTTTAGCATCTATGTCTTCATGGGTTGCACTCAAACATTTTATTTAATTTCATTATGATAATTATTATGATTAAATAATGTTTTGTATATTAAACATAATTAAATTAAATTATTTTATTTATTTATACATTTTTTTGAAAATTCCAGATAAATCACTGTGCTCCATGTCTTGTGTTTTTAGGTATCGAATGTATTGAGTCATACAATCGTCCAGAAGCTCAACGGTCTTAAGTACATCAGTCCGTTGTTGCAATCGACCAATCCCGCTCTACAGAACAGCGCAGTCGCTCTGCTCGGGAATCTGTCCAGATCCACACGAACAAACAAAACCATGGGTAAGCGAATGTGTGCCATCACTCAAGTATAAGACAACTTAACTTTGTAGTGTTATTGTTTTGAAGAGTTACATAATGGTTGACAGGTCTGTGAGGTTCTCTGTCTTGACTGCTTGTTTTTGTATCACTTCAGACTGCATATGATTAATGTTGCGGTTTTTGTCTCGTTTTTTAATTGTGTCCTATCTGATTTAGTATTGTTTTTGCCGTAGGGTTGTGCTATTAGCATGGTATTTTTGATCTAGCGTGTGTTTTGTGGTTGTTCTGATGAATGTTTTTGCTCGTGAAGCTCGTCAGACTCTCCCACAGCTGGTCGGGTTCCTGAACTCAGGGCTCACAAAGGGCGACTCCTCGCCTGAATACGACAGCACCATGGCCACAGCTCTAAACAGCGCACACGCCCTGATGAAGGCCGACCCTGAGATCGGCAAGAGTCTGCTGAACAACAGCCTGATCAACTCCCTCAACAACATGAGTCTCAATCTGTGAGTGCGCACTTCCTTCTGTTCATTCAGCTTAGTGAACAAACAGGCTTATTCTTGATATATGAATCAGACTACTTGAATTAACAAGGCAAAAGAAAATAGAAGGTATTTCACCTTGTTTTGTATTTTTCTTTGAAATAGTTTTTTTTTTTTTTTCTGTGCCAAAGCAGCTGAAGAAAACTGAAAGATAAAGAATAAAAAGAAAAGAAAAAATAATTCATAAGAAATGTTAAGAATGTATAATAACATTATTACGAGCAATACTTTTATCTATTTTAATTCAAAATATATTTTAACATTTTATTTTATATGTACTTTTTCCAATGCTAAATGTTTGTAATTTCTTGTAATATATCAGGGGTCTGCCGAAGTCCAGCACTGCGGCAGGAGTTCTTCTTCACAGTCTGTGGTCAGAAAAGAATATTCAGAGTTACCTTAAAAGGGTAAGACTGCAAACATAACCAATATTTGCTAGAAAGATTTTCCTAATACAAATAACAGTACTTGGAATCGAAAATAAAGTTCCTCGGTGGTCCTTTGCAGCAGAGAAGCCAAAGTTCTTGAGCTGCTACATGGTTTTTTGGAAATGTAAAAGGTTCTCGATGTTTCATTATAGTTTCTTCAGACCAGTGTTTTGGTTTATTGATTGATTTATATAGTGCTTTATACAATACAGATTGTTTTAAAGCAGCTTCACATTAATAAACAGGAAAATAACAGTGTAAATGTTGTAAAAGTCATCCATTATGAAACAAAAACTCATAGTTTGAGCTATAAGCAGCTCTACAGAAGATAATAATGTCATTATTTGGCTCAGTTTCGATGCTGCAAATTTCGTTATTTTTGAAAAGAGTTCAATTCAGCTGTAAGCAGCTCTGCAGCAGACAATAGTGTCATTTATTTATTTTTTATTAATTTTAATTCATTAAGAATTTTATTTAATTAATTGTATAATTATTAAACCTTTTTTTCATGCTCTAAAGAAGATGATAATGTAATTATTCAGCTCAAGTCATTCAATGTAGATTTAATTCAGTTCCGTACAGTCAGAATGTTGGTAAGTTGGTGTCTTGATCCAGTTCAATTTTTTTTGCTCCATAAATGAAAATAAAATCCAAAATAATGTAGAATTATAATTTAGTTCATAATAATTCTGAGCAATTTTTTTTATCTATTTTTATTAAAATTGTATTCTATTTAATATGTATTTTTCAAATGCCAATTTTTTCTCATTTCAGCTTTAAAAGACAGTACTAGTGTCATTATTCAGCTCAAGTCATTTAATGTTGATTCAGTTCAGTTTAATAACTCTTGCAAAGTTAATCAGTGCATTTAAATAAATATTACTGAAAATTAATTTTCTTTTAAACTCCATCTGAGCAAAGGCGACAGTGTGGCAAGAAAACACCTTTTTGGTACCTTTATTTTAGGTGTGGATACATAAGAAAAAATGTATGGTTTTCCACCAAAATAGCTGGTGATGAGTGCATGGAATCAGATGTCTCATTCCTGAGGCTGCTTGTGGGAAAATATTGTGTGTGTGTGTGTGTGTGTTTGTGTCGGACGGTTGAGGATTTTGGGTGTGGTGCGGAGAACTAGCTGTGAGGTGTGTGTGTGTGTGTGTGAGAATGCTTAAGGGTGAAAACCAACCACACCTCACCACACCGACCCTGCAGTCGCGGTGGAGACGGGTGGCTTTCTTTGTGTGTCTAGATGACCTGAAGAATCTAACCTCACTGGTTTTACAGTGATCAGACTCGGATAATGTCATTCTAGCTGTAAAGTCAGATTTTATATAATCATACTGTACATCGGTATATACCGGTGTGAGGTCATGTTTACTTGTATTTAATATTGAGTTGTGTTATATATTCACAGTAAAATATCTAACCTGTGTGTTTGTGTGTTCATCTTGCAGCAAGGCATGAATAAGAAATCCTTTGTGAATGACATAACGTCGGCAGCTTTCAGATCTCTTCAAGTGGTCGACTAAGAGAAGCACTTTACAAACAAACTGCATTTTAATTGCATTGCATTTTAATTTTGGTGAAGTATTGCAGAGGAAATGTAAGAATGAGCTTTTATTTCTTTTGGGGCGGTAGATGCTTTTTGTAACGATGCATAACAAATGCAATGACAAAAACATAATTTTTTTTTTTTGTTCTATTTCTCAAGACCATAGTGTTTTCATTCAGTTAAGATGATTTCTATGTCTTTGTTTGTCTTTATAATGTGTTCTAAAATGCAAATGATTTTATGAGAGTGTTACAGGTTGTTTGTGCAAGTTTAAGATATTTTCTATTACACTGTATGATGTATTATAAATCAAGTTATATAATATCAGACGATATAAATATATACGCATGTCATTCAGTCATTGAGTAATCAATTCTAAGAAGTTTCTTTGGCTCATTTTGACATTTGTTCACCATTACATATGTTGTGGTTGTTGCGTTAGGGGTTTGGATCAATTTGTATGTTTCAGCTCACAGCGACTACAGGTCATATTAGCCATAACAGCTCGGCAAGTCTGTACGGGTTTGGCATGAGTCAGGCAGGAGTGTTTGGCGAGAGATGTATCACCTATCCGACACACACTGGGTTTGACTAGAGGGTTTTGTTAAGTCCGCTAAATGACGGGATCAAGCGCTGGTTTGGAATAGCAGCTCTGTTGTTTGTTATTTTATGCTGATGGTAGTCTATTATTAAACCACCTGACTTCCACACAACTTAGTGTTGAGCAGCTGTTCATATGCTTATAAAAAAATGCCATATTTATACTACCAGATGTATTTTGCAATTTCCCATATACAGGGTAAAAAGCAAAAATGTGTATTAAATTGAATTTCTTTTGCATTAAATGAATGTGTCTATTTATTTTGTAAAATTAAACCAGTCTACTTTGATTAATATGTTTATGTTGACCATTTTTTACAGTATATATTTTTATATTTTGCATACAAAAATGTTATATAAAAACATGGAAATACCATGGTTTTGGGCACTAACAAAATGGTATTTTTAAATACTATATATGGTACATACACACGATCCGTTGTTTGCTCCTTATTTTCCTGATTATTAAATTATTTTTGTTGCATTAACTTAATATTGTCATATTAATTTTTTTTTGAATAAAACAAGTGATTTTATATCAATAAACTTTTAAGTTACCTGAAAAAATTTTATGGTATATTTTTTTTATATCTTGCATGAAAAAATATACAAACACAGTAACACCATGTTTTTGGACACTGGCAGGATTGTAATACCGTGGGATTTTTTTTTTTAAGTACTATTTTAATACCATATTGTATATGAATATGATAATTCGGTTGATAATTGTTTGTAATTGTTTTTGCAATTGCAATTGTTTCCTGATTATTAAATTGTTGTTTTTTTTCATTAGCTGAATTGCATCAGATTGATTCAGTAATATTAGGTTATATTTCTTACTTGAATTAAACCAGTTATTTTAGATGAATATATTTTTAAGTTACCAGACAAAACATTTTTACAGGGTATATTTTTATATTTTGCATAAAAAGATGTTAATACCATGTTTTTGGACACTAGCATGATGTAGTATTCTTTGAAGTATCTTACAGTACCTTTAAACACCATATGGTGATCATATGATCATTCAATACTATGGTGTACATCAAAAAACCAGGGTATTACCATGTGCTACTGATACTCAACCATGCTTCTTTTTCTGTTTACTTGCAATGTACAGTACACAATCCTTCAGCTATATGTTTATTTCCTTTTGCGTGGCCTTAGGTTCTGGATTAAGGTTGTGCTAGAACAAAGCAGCAACTGTTATTCTGCACAGAGAGTTCTGGAAACGTGATGCTATGTTAGATTAGCCTCGCAGCATTACGCGTCTTAGCTTGGTCTTTACCAAGGCCTTTCACACACTGAGGTTAATACTGTGTGTTATTTCAGTACTACTGCTCATCACTATTCACATCTGAGCTGAAGGTAACATGTTTTATTGTTCAACAGTTGCTGGATATTTGATATTTAACACCTGGAGGGGCTACACAGGTTTTTGGCGGTTGATGCAGTTGAATGGGGCCCAAATCTGTTGTTTTTTTCTTCCTCGTGTAATGACAATATCACTTTGAAATCAATTTGAGCTGCCTTCATAAATATCAGATTTTGTGTAACATGACTCCAGAGCAATTTTAATGACAATCTAACTAGACTAACTATCTATTTACTGCTGGGGTGAATCATACAATCATTTATGAATTGCACTATATGAGGTATTACAATATTAATCCACATGTACACTTCCATGCAAGATTTTTTAAAAAGAAATTAATACTTCAGCAAGCATGCATTAAACTGATCAAAAGTGACAGTAAAGGCATTTATGCTGTAACAAAGGATTTCTATTTCAAATAAATGCTGTTCTGTTGAACTTTCTTTTCATCAAAGAATCCTGAAAAAAATATGTTCCACAAAAATATTAAGGATCATGTGAGACTGAAGACTGGAGTAACGATGCTGAAAATTCAGCTTTGCATCACAGAAATAAATGACATTTTAAAATATATTTCAATAGAAAACAGTTATTTTTTAGTTTTTACTGTTTTTGCTAAATAGCTTTTACTGATCAAATTACATTTTTCAAAAACAAAGAAAAAATCCCCAACTTCTGAGTGCTAGTGTACATTTCTTCTAATATTGACAAAAATATGATGATTAGTGTCTAAAATGTGGGCCAAATTTATTAGGTCATGTGAACCTCACAAAATTAAAGGAGAAAGTGTAAATTCTGGCACTTTGGTTTGTTGCATGAACATAGCTTTTGATAACGTATCAATCAATCAGGTCCATTTCACAGCAACTTACTTTTTCTGATGGTCGCTGACACGATTCCTAAGCACGGTGATCTATGAGACAGAAAACCACACGTATGAATCAGTCTCGGTGAATCATCGCCGCACAGCTTTGCTTCCTTCTCATGTCAATCAAGCGGCATCTCTGGGAACCGGCCCGGATGATTGTTCTGCCAGGTCTGTGCTGGGTGTGACTGCATGTGTGTGTAATTGATAGTTGTACTGTACTGTACATCCCATTAACTCATCTTCTCCAAATGGTAGGACTCCTCTAACATAATGACAGGTTTTGTGAAACCTCACCTCGTATTTCTGGCACATGTATCTGTATTGCAGCTCAAACTTCCCGGCTTCAAGTTGGCGCATCCACTTCCAGAGTTCGTTCGCGGTTTCTCTGCATAAAAGCACATGTGGAACATGATTAACCAGTTCATGAATGGCTTCATGTCACGGTGCTACTAGACTATCTGTGACCCTGGAGCACAAAAGCAGTCGAATCAGTCTCGGTGAATCATCGCCGCACAGCTTTGCTTCCTTCTCATGTCAATCAAGCGGCATCTCTGGGAACCGGCCCGGATGATTGTTCTGCCAGGTCTGTGCTGGGTGTGACTGCATGTGTGTGTAATTGATAGTTGTACTGTACTGTACATCCCATTAACTCATCTTCTCCAAATGGTAGGACTCCTCTAACATAATGACAGGTTTTGTGAAACCTCACCTCGTATTTCTGGCACATGTATCTGTATTGCAGCTCAAACTTCTCGGCTTCAAGTTGGCGCATCCACTTCCAGAGTTCGTTCGCAGTTTCTCTGCATAAAAGCACATGAGGAACATGATTAACCAGTTCATGAATGGCTTCATGTCACGGTGCTACTAGACTATCTGTGACCCTGGAGCACAAAAGCAGTCTTAAGTCGCAGGGGGATATTTGTAGCAATAGCCAAAAATACATTGCATGGGTCAAAATTATTGATTTTTCTTTTATGCCAAAAATCATTAGGATATTAAGTAAAGATCATGTTCCATGAAGATATTTTGTAAATTTCCTACTGTAAATATATCAATCCTTAGTAATATGCATTGCTAAGATCTTCATTTGGACAACTTTAAAGGCGATTTTCTCAGTATTTAGATTTTTTTGCACCCTCAGATTCCAGATTTTCAAATAGTTGTATCTCGGCCAAATATTGTCCTATCATAACAATACAACCATACATCAATGGAAAGCTTATTTATTTAGCTTTCATATGATGTATCTCAATTTTGAAAAATGGACCCTTATGACTGGTTTTGTGGTCCAGGGTCACATTTCATACTGGCAGAGGTATGTGCCGTCGTGTTTTTAAAGCTCCTTCACCTGAGTTTATCAGCGCTCAGGTTTTCGACGTTCAGTTCCTTACGGCGTTCACTAAGAATCGTTTTTTTCTTCTCCCTCTCTGTTTGCTTCTTAGGCCCACCCCTTTTATCTGTCTGTCAATCAAAACAGAACAGAAAACAAGCATTTGTAGTGGCTGTGCACCGTGACCTTTGACCTCTGAGCTCATTACCCTCTGCATGAATCCCATGTACTGGAAGCTCGTGAGAACCTTCTTCTTCTTAGCATCATCATCGGCCTTCCTCTTAGCCTCTTCCTCCTCTTTTCGTGCCTTTTCCTCCTGAAAGAAATTGATGGCTATATCTGTCATTTGAATGTGTGAGACCGCCGGTGTCCTTAACTTCCAGCTATTTGAGCAAAAACAGATTGTTATGCTGCTTGATATTGCAAAGTGTTATTTGTTATCATTATATATGAATTTATTATCCTAATCATAAACGCAAATAGATTTTTAACTGCACTTTGTTAATCATCTAGTCATTAACCTGTATCAGCTAATGAATCAGAAGTCAGAAGTCTCGCACATTCAAAGAAAAGAGCATTTTTCTGCCTTGTAAAATAAGGAGGGCATCCACTTCACTGAACTTACGGCTAGTTTGTTTTGTCGCTCTTTCTCGCGCTCTGTCCGGATCCGGTGCTGCTCCGCTCGTTCTGCCCTGCGGTTCTCCTGATGGTCACAACACATGCACAACCTGTTTGAAGATGAACTAATCATATTTAGCACATCTGAAAGCTTTGAAACATACTCAAGAGTTTAGTTTGAGGCACTTACAGTATCAGTTGGAATAGAAGATTTTTACTGTTTTTGAAAGAAGTCTCTTTTGCTCACCAAGGCTGCATTTATTTGATCAAAAATACAGTAAAAACAGTCATATCTGCTGCTCAAGAAATATTATTATTATTATTATCAATGATGAAAACAGTTGTGCTGCTTCATATTTTTGTGGAAACTGGATTTTTTAATGAACAACAATCTTTTGTAACATTATACATTTCTTTACGGTCACTTTTATTCAGTTTAATACCTAATTTCTTAAAAATTTTTCAATGGTCATGTGTCACGGTTTCCATGCAGATCTATTTAGTGATCATTTATGTCACATCAAATGCACTCAGATGAACACAATCATTTCCAGAAAACTCACGTGTAGTTTGATGTAGTTAGCCACAAATTCATAATTCACAATTTACACAATACACAAACATTGACTGTAGTATATTTTGCACTGTTTTCTATAGTTTTTATGTTCCCTATACAGTCATGCCTTTATTTGAAAGTATGTATTTATGTAGTGAACAGTTTGGCTCTCTAAAATGAGTCTCAGTCCTGCAGGAAAGAGCAGAGTAAAGCAAGCATGAGTTTCCATGCTGGTTATGCCTGGTTTGTTGCTAGTCTAGCTGGTAGACCAGTATAGCCTAGCTGGTCAGTATAGCATTTTTCAGCAGGGTGATTTCAACAAGATGTTCCCTTGTTTTATTATAGTTGCAGCAGTGAGGGTTAATTAATTCGTTCTGTAATGTATGACAATAATTATGAAGAAATGTATTTAATTTATTATTTAAGATTTTTGTAAAATGTCTTACGATCCTTTGCGTGAGGTTGATTAGCTCCTCTTCTTCTTTCTTTCTGCTCTCAAAGTGAGCCTCGATGAGCGTCTGTAGCTCCGTCAGGTCTTTCTCCATACGTTTGCGGTGAATATCCTGAGGATATCGTTTTGAAGTTAATTATGTAATAGTGGCAATGTACAGTACCGTGCAAACTACTCATAGCACATGTTTTATGACAGTGCAGGTCATATAACACTGTTTAGTTTAGAAACAGAAAGTTTATTGATTTATTGGCATGAGAGTTAACATATTTGTAAAGTATTTGCTGCTGACAAGGACAACAGTGCAACGCAAAAATGCAGTGGTAAACTAATTAATGCAACGTAAATAAATTAAGGAAGTGTATACTACAATAATTAAATGAAATGTGATGCACAATTAAATTAAATTAAATTAAATTAAATTAAATTAAATTAAATTAAATTAAATTAAATTAAATTAAATAAAATAAAATAAAATAAAATAAAATACTCACATCAAAATCAACTTTCTCTCCATCAGGAATTTTAGGAGGCACCAAAGCTGGCACAAAGGGTCTAATAATCAACAACAATGCATATAGTATTTTTTTTTTCATACTAATTGTCTTACATTTGGAAATATATAGTTATGTATTATACTTTATATATAACCTCTTTGGTTACACTTTATTTGAAGGGGTGTGCATAAGACTGACATGACACCTACATAATCAAGACATGACACATGCCATGAATATGAAGGTTTTTTATGCATGTTTATGACAACTGTCATTAAGTGTCATTCGCTCAGTTATGTAATTTTTAATGCAAAGATGACATTGTTTGAGATGTATTTGTTATGGGCTATGGTTGGGGGTAAGGGTAGGGGTAGGGTTAGGTCAAATAATGTCATATTTGCATTAAAAATGACATAACTGAGCGAATGACACTTAATGACAGTTGTCATAAACATGCATACAACCTCCTTCATATTCATGACATGTGTCATGTCATGATTATGAAGGTGTCATGTTAGTCTTATGCACACCCCTTCAAGTAAAGTGTTACCACCTCGGTTATTTATAATTTATTTCACAGAAATTTTAGTTTCACTCACTTATGCTTTGGTTTTGTTTCTCCTGCATCATCCAGTTGGCAAGAGGGTAAAGAAAAAATACAAATGTATAATTTAGTTGCTGATGATTTTATTGTTGTTTCTTTTAAAGGGGGTCAAAGGTCGCCAGGGCTCAGTTTCTAGAGTGAAACCAGTTTTGAGTGAGTCTGATGTTATCACTTTACCTTCTTCCCCAGGTTCCTCAGCAGCATCTAAATAAGAAAAGACAGTCATGTCAGCAATGACAGCAATGTGAAGATCCACAGGATTGACGCAAGACATAGGAAATACAGAAAAAGCCCTGAAGACACATCTGTTATCAGAAACTAAAAGGTATTTTGTCTAAACCGTTTAAAAAAAATAAAAATAAAATCTGGGTATTTCAGGTTAAGAAAGTCTGGAAGTGCTTGAAACTTCTTGAATATGATAGATGTAGTCCATTAAGCTTACAATAGCTGACATTGTTCTAAATGTGTCACAGTTCGTTTAATCAGTGACTTTGTGAAAGTATAATTATTGGGTGTTGTTGATCGTATTATAAGCACTTGCTGAATAATCCCGTATTTGTTTCGTTTTTTACCTGCATGATGTGGACTGGGTGTTTGCTTCCCACTGGCATCTACAAGCCCTAAAAGATAACACATAAACAGTAGGATTTACCCAAAAACACATTATGATCATGTTGAAGTCTTGCCCTATGTATCATTATACAAGATTTGTGTGCATTACTTATCAATATTAACCCTAAGTAATTATAAGAAAAAATTATGTAGGATTTACTTTGAACCAGTTTTTAAACCAATTGAATTAAAGTACAAAGCCTGAAATAGTATTTTCTTGTAAAATGTTCTCCAATAATCTTTGTTGTATTTACAGTTTTACTAGTGAAGTAATATGTTATTTATAATTATAAATATTTAAATAATCTTTTATTTATATTAACACCAAGGACCAAACCTGCAGAAATGACAAATAAATAAATATATATAGATAGATAGATAGATAGATAGATAGATAGATAGATAGATAGATAGATAGATAGATAGATAGATAGATAGATAGATAGATA